AGTGACCGAATTTATTGTACTTAAGGTATACATTTATTTAGAATGTTTTGTTGATTAGATTTTAATTATAAACCGTGTTAGCTCATTAGCTAAGTGCTCGCTGTAGATCTCACAATACTCGTGTACAACCTGGGTTCGATCGGCGCCGGCAGCAATGAAATTGTAAATTACAATTTTAAGTACTGATTTACCACGTGATCGACAAGAAAAACATCGTGAGGAAATATATATGTGCTGAAAAATTTATAAAATAATATTTCGAACTGATGAGAAGTTCGCCACCACGCATGCCACACGCATGAGCCAGCACGAAGGACACTTCCTTGCCCCAAAACCCTCGCAGAAATGTGAGCAGGCCTATGCTCATGAGCGGGATATACACTTACTATTAATACTAGTATAGACAGTAACTTTACTCGCCGTTGCAGGTAGGCGGTTTCGATTCCCGCACGGGGCATAATTTTGTATTCATTCATTCATAGACCTTCTTAGACATCTACATTGTCTAGGGATAATATATCGGATTTTCTCAATTTACACAAAATTTGTTATAAATAATATACAACAATTATATATTTTTATAAAGCTCATTTATCAGATTATACTTTAGAATAAAACAATTTTTTATTTATGGTTTAAATAAAATTTTATTTAAATAAAGTCGAAAAGTGAAATAATGGTAAAACTAACGATGAATGTGTTTTTCAAGAAAAAGTGAACAATGAGGCGAAATCATTCCGCTTTTTGCAATTATGCGAAAAATCAGTACAGTAAAAACTTCTATGACGTTAATATCAGTTCTGCAACGGTTTGTCATGATTCAAAGTCTTGCTGCGGGATATTGTCCCAGATCCTACTAAGATGCTAAAAAAGTTGTCCTTCAGTCGCAATCGTTGCAGGAAAATTCTTCAAAGCCCTTCTTTGGAGAGTGTCCTCTATGGGATTTAGGTCTTGCGCGGGCATGTCAAGACCGATAGGCCGTGCTCCTGCAGCCAGCTGGCCACCACTCGTGCTGTGTGCGGACGGGCGTTGTCGTGCATGAGCGTGAATTCTTGGTCCATTTGAAGTCGATGGCGATAGACTATTGGTACTAGCACCTAGTTGCGGTATTTTTTAGCAGTCATGGTGTTTCTGATCCAAACGAGGTCTGTTCTTCCACCAACACGAATTCCCGCCCAAACTATAATCGTCCCGCTGTGGTATGGATGGACTTTCTGAGGATGTTGCAGACAGCTCTCACGACCAAGAACTCACCAAACGCGTACTCTTCACGAATCGGGATGGAAAGCGAATCGGGACTCGTCAGTAAACAGCACTACAGACCACTGGTTATTTTCCCTGAGCTAATGTTTACGAGCCCACTGTAATCTTCGCCTATGTTTTCCTCGATGTAGTGATGGAGTACGAACCGGTCTACGAGCATGAATATTAGCTTCATGCTGTCTTCTTCTCAAAGTTTGGTCACTCACAAGCAATTGATGCTCTGACTGGAGCCTTTGAACCAACAGCACGGCAGTAACATTTAGTTGTCTTTTCGCGACAACTTGCAAAAATCGGTCTTGGCGTTGGGTGGTTATGCGCTTCCTACCTGGGAGCCTTTCAGCCACTTCACCAGTAGCACGATGACGAGACCATAATCTTTATATCACGTTCTGTTTTGTTTCAATCTCCTCAGCAATAATCCGTTGAGTAGCCCAGTTTGGAGCATGCCTATTGCCTTTAACATTTCCTCTTGCGTTAAATGGCGCCGCTGCATGATGCATACAGTGGCATAAATTCCAAATTAACTGCTAACTTGTTAGTTAATTAGTTAACGACGGGCTGTTTTCCGCAACCCCACGTCTAAGCGCATATTTTGCGTGTGGGCAGGAAATTCGAGCCATAAATCTCCCCGAAGAAGTTTAACAGTCTTTGATGTTGCAAGCAACTTCGGGTAGTGATCCCGGCGTACCGAGATGTTTAGCCCTGTATGCAGCGATTTCCGGACATGTCAGCAACACGTGGGCCGCCGTTTCTTCGTCCTCCATACATGCCATGGGGACTATCTGTAACACCTATGGTAAATAAATGTTTATTAAAGGTGCCATGTCCTGTGACAGCACTTGTTACTATCCTGATCTGCGGCTTGTTCAGCCTCATTAGAACCTTGGTTAAAGGACTGTTTATTTCAGGTAGGGCCTCCTTAGCTTGCCTACAGTTTACTAGATTTTTTCAAAGCTGAGCGAAGTGTCTGCGTACCAGTGAACGAATGTTACCAAAGGGGACTGGTATGATTTATTCCGGCCCTATAGCAGCCAAAGCCAATCCTCTTCTGGCCAGTTCGTCTGCTGCATCGTTGCCTCTGGATCGATGCCTAACTCATTTTAAAACTTTATTTGACACCAATACACCACCACAACAAAAATTACCAAAAATGATGGTAGGTAAATTGAAACCTTCGAGCTTCGCTAAAGTTATGCCGCGCAAATCTTTTTTGTTAATATATTTTTTCAAATTCAAATTTGGAATCATCCAAAAAGGCCTACAAAATAAGCTTTCTTCAGAAGATTTCAAAACCGGCCAGTATTTTTTGAGTTCAAGAACTTTATACTAAATATCCCTAGACGGTGTTATTGTGTATATTATGGATGAGGTAATATTTGCTATAGTAGCTATAGGGTTGGTAGCCGCAGTTTTTTCATTACTTTGAGCTGTTTTAAGGAAGATACTGCTACCCATATCCTGTTTCAGTTTCCCTGTGTCGCCGCCTATGATACCCACGGGATGATATGGGGAAGTATTTTCTCTTACGGCACTTCTACACGGTAAAATATGTCTGTTGCATAATAATACCTATATGTCTATAAATTTCTATGGCCTAAAATAGTTACTGCGGATACCTGTTGGGTGATGGGTACCTGTTCATGCACAATTTATGTTTGTAAAATGCCTCCACCCATAGAATCATTCTATGCCTCCACCATACAGCAGAAGTTCCTACTGTTGGAGACACGTTTTTCATTAATATTTTTTTTAATAAAACAATAAATTAATAAAATAATTCTGAGTAAGGAGCGGCTAAGTGGAAATTGAATTTAAAAAAATATTAGCTACTAAATTTCCACTAACCAAGGACAAAGTTTCTTTGTTAAATGATATTAATTAATTAGCTATTCAATAAATGAAAACCGGTAACACTCCCTTGATATTTCAACATGACGGAATAAATTTAATAATATTGATTATATTATGTAATGTACCCGTGATTATTAAAAAATATAAATAAAATTGAAGTGTTTTCTGGTATCAAAATAACTAACTACCTTTTATTGAATTGAGGTTATTTGCATGCCTTTAAGACGTGAATAATAATATTACTATGCCCTATCAGTGCTCATGTTTGTCTCTATTATATTCAACATAAGAACTATTTATGTAACCACATGAACGCAATAAAATCTTGAGTGAATAACCATATTTTTTTATTTTGTCCGTCTGAAACTTGGGGAATTGTTGAAGAGCAGTGCCAGGAATAATCTAGGCTATATTATATCTGAAAAAGTTGGAGATTTTTTTGAGAAATAGATAAAATATTAAAATAAAGGCGAATCTGTGGCGAATCATTAGTTAAATATAAAATGATGAAAATAGAAAGATGAGCTATAGTAGCTCAAGGGCTAAGCGATTTCACGGTCGACACCAAATAAATTGTTAATTACAATTTAAAGTGCTAATTTACCACGAAATCGCCGGTAAAAGAAAACATCGTAATCAAACGTGTATGTCTAAGTAAATAAAATATGTTTATAAGTAAAAAAATGTTTAGAAGACATGTGAAGTTTACCAACACGCATTAAGGTAGCCTGACAGACATTTCTCTTTGCCCATTTGCGGTGTTTATCACACAATAGTAATCTATGGTGATTACCATGGCGCTGAGACACCTACATCTATCATCGATTAAGAATCAAAATGCAGATGTATTATCCCCTCTAAGGACTAAGATGGAATGCCTCGTTTCCAGTAAAAAAGGGTCTTCAGTTCTCTACACTCACCTTACGAAACGCAGTAGTATTATTCTGCAGTTTCCAGCCTAGCCAACCCATTCCTGCTGCAGTTATATATACTCGTAACTGAAGCGTGGCTCTACCACGCTCTTCAGTCTTACCGACTTGTTACAGTCTAAAATTTTATTTAAAATTTACATATCAATAGGCTTCTAAAATATTCCTTGATTCGAATAAATAACTAAATAATAAATAAATATTTTTAACTATTAGAAAAAACGTCCCAATGTTAAAATTTTATATGATCTGATTAACAAACTTCTAAACATAATTCAAAAATAAAATAACATAAAGTGGAAACATTTTTCGCGAAAAAAGATTTTCAGTTCTTATTAAATAATTTTTTTTTTTGTTTATAATGACTGGCGATAAAATTAATTAATTATTTTGATGGTCATATAATATAAAAGCTTTTAGAAAAATTTACTTTGTAAATATCCGCGTTATAAAATAAAATGATGTGTCTTACCTAGTATGAAGAGCACCTCCCGCCCTCCCTCAATTGCGTGTACTATCCCCGTCACCACTAATCCCAGCACCGCTACTCCCAACACCACTACACTAGGCAAGACACACCACTGACGATAATACGACACGTGTTTCGCCTCTACACGAGGCATCCTCAGGTGATATAGACTCTACGGTGGCTAACCGCTAAGTGAGTGGCGGTCATATAATAATTATAAGAAATATCATGTTACTGGTATTAACATTTTCGTAGCCCAAATGTATTGGTAATTTTTTTTTAATTTTGTAGTCTTAAGAAGTAATACATAATTAAACCGACTAATTAGATGGGATCTAATATCAATAATTTAGTAAAAATCTTATTAAAATCTTACCCTTCAAATATGTACTTATGTTTGCAATAAACTTAATGAGCGATGTTACCGAATAGAAGTGTTCTGAGGATATTAGATTTTATAATATACTTATACAAATTATTCCACTTACCTATGCTTTGGCTGACCCAAATTCCGAGCATATCCAACTGCAATAGTCGATGGTATAAACCTGCACCACTTGTATGGTTCATGAAGAGATGGTAGACAAAGGAACCGCACCACGGTGCCAGAGCACCAAGTAAATGGCACAAGGAGAGGAACCACGCAGAACCACCGCCTCCACTCCATGGTAGTAGACCTGGTAGCACCAGCAATATGTAGACAAGAGAAAAGCCTGCAAAAAAAAACAAATTTTAGTTAATTTATTTCGGTATTGTTAGCAGAAATAGTATATTGATTCTGGCATCGGTGTATTCAAATTAAATGTCACAATCCGGGCGACGACGTCAACGTAGATTTTATTTCTGTATACGGATTCGGATAAGACTCTAAAACTACTTGGTGGATTTTGGTGCGGTTTTCACTGACGATAGATGATTTATTGAGGAAGGTTTAGAACTTAATAAAATTTATATTTTCATTATAAATAGCGGCGTTACCAAATTAAGAAGAAAAGTTGTGATCTTTAGCGCTTATGTGTAAGCGTTTTCTAAATAACAAGAACCACAAGTTACAAATATGTTGTGCTTATGTATGTGCTACTACAACGTAGATCTTTTTCCTTCAGCACATGAAAATTCACTCATTTTTTATAGAAATCGGGTGACAAAGGAGCACACAGCCCACCTGATGGTAAGTGGTTGCTGCGGCCCATAGACATCTACATCTCTCCTCGCTTGCGAATCAAAATGCAGATGCGTTGTCAGCCGTGAGGACTAAGATGGAATGCCTCTTTTCCAGTAAAATGGGTCTCCGGTTCTCTACACTCACCATACGAAACACAGCAGTATTAAGCTGCTATTTTACGCTAGTATTCCGTGAGAGCGTAGTCCTTCCCCGGTCGAGCCGACCCATTCGTGCTACAACTATACTATAAATATAGCTGCAGCTTGGCTCTACCACGTGAAAAGACTGTTATACGTAAGCTTCTTCCGCTTGGCAGGAGTAACCTTACATAATCACCACGCTCTGCAGGCAGATTGGCGACTGGAGTATCAGACGTGTCGCACCTTTGATCTGACTCCCTGCCAAAAGTCTGGGTTTGTTACTTCTGCCGAAATCGAGATGGTTACAACGCCATCTACCGACGACATCCACAGGAGAAATCGAGTGATGGATTCTATTAAGTCGCGCTGACTAATAAACGTCTCTTAGTGCTAAATAAATAGAGTTGTACGTGGAGCCATGCTGCAGCTATATTAGTAGTATAATTGTAGCACGAATGGGACGGTTCGACCGGGGAAGGACCACGCTCTCACAAAATACCAGCGTGAAATAGCAGCTTAACGCTACTGTGTTTCGTATGGTGAGTATAGAGAACCGGAGAATCGTTTTACTGGAAACGTGGCATTCCATCTTAGTCCTCACGAGTGACACCGCATTTGCACTTTGATTCGTAGTCGAAGATGTAGATGTCTATGGGCCACAGCAAGGTGGATTGTGTGCTCGTTTGTCACCCTTTTCCTATAAAAAATAAAAAAGTTACAAAACAATACAATACAATACTCTTTATTTTACACCAAGAAAAGATAAAAATATCAAAAAGAAAAAAATAAACAACTATTGAGGGAAATACAAAGGGGGTCTTAATGCTACGTAGCAATCTCTTCCAGACAACCCAGAAGAAGAAATAAATAAAAATAAGAAAAAGCACAATGAGTAGGATGCACTAAAATAAAAAAATAAAAACAAATAAAAAATTAAGATACAAACCTATGCATTAAAAAGACAACATTCTTCAGATAGATCAATGAACATAATTAAGCGAAGGAAGTGAGAGGAGTTAGAGAGACAAATTGTATTCCTTAATCTGTTTCTGGAACACATTTAAGGATTGAGTACTTCTAATTAACTGGGGTAAGGAGTTCCAAAGTCTTACTCCAAAAACAGAGAATGATTTATCATAATAAGTTGAGGAGTGCACAGGACATTGGAGGAAAAGATTTTCTTTGGATCGTAAGGAAAAATTATGACAGGAGCTGAGAAATTTAAAACGTTCTTTTAGATAAAAAGAACTTGATATATTAAATAAGACGCAGTAGATAGCAGAAAGTATTTAAGTATTCCGACGTATACAAATTGGGAGCCACTTGAGCTTAGTGTGGTATTCTGAGACATGTTATATTTGCGAAGCCCAAATATGAACCGTTTACAGAGATATTGGAGTCGCTCAAGCTTGTTAAGTTGCTCCTCGATAACTAATATCTACTATTTACAACATATTAATAATAATAATAATAATTCCTTTATTTCAGACCTTGATCCATAATTTGTTAGTAATACATTTTTACACTTTAAATACTAATGTTAGTTTCTTAAATATGTAAAATTACTTTTTAATATACTATTCCAGTGACTTAGCATATGCCCGTCACATCGTTCGGCGAACATGTTCAGAATACCGTTGCGGCTGCTACGCATTCTAATCAACAGGGAGTATACTCGTTTACGCATTATTGCAAAGAAGTCATCTGTTCTTGCTTCTGCGAACATACCTGATGCGCTACAAAAGCGAGGCAGCCCCAACAGGGCTCTGAAAATGTTATTATATATTGTAAATAGTAGATATTAGTTGACAGCGTATAGAATTTTTGTCTTTTAAAATTTTAACTTACTAAAATTTCTCTTTGGTTCAATATTTAATATAGCCTTTAAATTTATTATAGCCCTAAAAAACTGCTGAATATAGGTTTCCCCTGAATAAAGATTCCCTCATGGGTGGATCTTTGCCATAATTGCAAAACCCGGGGAGCAATTGCTGTTTATCGAAAGCTATCAGATCTTTCTGGCAATTTCCGTAGTCACTTCTTATACAGTAACTGCACGCTCACTTATAGCAAACTATTGAAAAATAGCAGCATATTGCCATTATTTTTCTACCGACTTCAAAAAGAAGACGGTATTCAATTCGACTGTATGTCTTTTTTAAGTTTGTTACTTCATAACTTTTTCCTGGAATTTCGATGATTCTTTTTTTTATTTGAAAGCTGGTGCTTCACATGTGGTTCAATAGTTTTTGAGTTATTGTTAATAATTTATATTGAAGTCGGTTGTACAAAATTTTTAATTTTAAATTATTGTGTGATAAGTGCTAACAAATTACAATAGTAGTTTACGTGGTAGAGTCGTGTTTAACCATTTAATGCAGCACGAATGGATAGACTTGAATGGAATAGCACCACGCTCGCACGGACTACCAACATGAAATAGCAGTATAATACTGCTGTGTTTCTCATAGAGTAGAATAGAATAAAATCATTTTAATTCAATATAGATTACAGTACATAATACTTAGTGAACGCCATTTTTTACTTTTACCACTGGTAAGTGGTACTATGGTAGTTGACGGGAACCAGGTACCATTTTTATTGGTAACAAGGTATTCGATCCTAGTCCTCGAGGTGATAACGTATCTCAGCATCATCTATGTACGAGTACGCAACTTCCGACAGGTTATTTCTATTTTAATTTTATTTCTTATTCGTTAATTTTATTTAAAAAAACTTCAAAACAATAGTTTAATTAAAATTGAAATAAAATATGTAGATATGTCCTCTAATGAACATAGGCCTCCCCGCAAGGAATGCCACACCCTGACCCATCCACGGTTCTTATCCACTTGGATGCATCGACTTCCTGCTTGTCTTACAAGGTCGTCACTCCATCTAGTGGGAGCCGCCCTGCACTTTGCCTGCCGGTACGAGGCTGCCTCTCGAGAAACTTTCTAAACTTAACCTATGTTTAGCATTTGACTTGTGAAGAAGGGCTGTAATGAAGGAATGAATAAAATCGAAATAAAAATAGAAAATTTTTATTTTCTTTTAGGCGTATCCATCCATATGATATATTATTGTGACATGTTTTACTTTATACGGCAGTTTTTCCACGTAGCGAGTCAGGTCGAATTAAGGAAGCATAATAAAAAATCAATAAGTTCAACAATCATTTATCTTTCTGATAATATGCTTTTTATATCATTTATATGTATAATATGATTACGATTTCATGCGACAAAACGTTGGAATCTTAATTTTTAGACCCTAGCAGAACATATCTGAGTGCTTTGCGCTTACGGCATGCAATAAGGTCATACATATAGGGTAATGATGATGTTCAAATTTATTTATTCCTTTGCGATATATGGGTTACAACAGATCTTAATAATTTAACAAAAACACAACTATATTCTACGTTCCGGAATGAAAACTAATTATATACAAGATATTTTTTTAATAATTATAATGGAAATTTATGATAATTACATATTCAAAAATAATCTTATTTGTATTACTAACATCATAGCAATTTAATACATATAATTAAAATAATTGTAATAATTAAATTATAATGTCCTAAAATTAAATAACAGTTAAAATTAAATAACCGTTAAAATTTAAAAATTGGTAAAGAAATAATCGTCAATATTATAATACGCCTTTTTGGTTAAAAATATGTTTAGTTGATTTTCAAAAATTGTTATACAATATACAGGCGAGGACCCATGCAGGATACGTGTATATATATATATATATATATATATATATATATATATATATATATATACGTATCCACGTATTACGGCGGACGTGTCCACAACCTTTCCAAGCATATATAATGCATACGAAAAACGATTTAACTTCATACACACACTGCTCACATAATACTACGTTCACTTCATTTCACGTGTTCTAACTGGAGAACCACTGCACCAATCCTTTCACTTCATATATTTTATGTATATGTTACGGCTAATGTTGGTACAAATTATAAACTTAAGATTGGCCGGCTAAACTTAAGTTTATTTTGTTATTCACAAAAACTAAAACTACACACTACTTGGTTGTAGAACTTGCATAGTATATCTATTTTTAGTCAGTCAAGCCGCGAACATTTTTATGTATAATAAATTTAAGCTTATTCGCATGAAAAAAGGTAACATTAGCTTTAGCTCGCAACTAAAACTAAGTTTAGACGGCTAAACTCAAGTTTATTTTTTACACTAACTAATTCTATAAATCTATGTCAAAAAGTTATAAAATAGAGAACGTGACATTATACTAGTTATAGATTATGATTAGTTTGTCGTCACGTCATGTTATCTATTAACTCTTTACAAAAAAAACTCAGTACCTTGTTGAATTATTAACTTATCGTAAAGTATAGATTTAAAAGAGA